ACTAGTTCAAACCAAAGGGCTACACAATGGTCCTTAAAAAGTGTGGGAAAGATGAATGAACTGTTATGAACGGGGTGTAAGCCAGGCCTAGCCACAGTATACCCAGCCCGTCTAACTGCAGCATGAAAACGATGCGTACCAGTAACTACTAAAATAAAGCACGGATTGGAACAGTGGGACTTGTTCGCGCAACATGCACTGGAACTCGGATCCAAGTTGAAAAATTGTTGTGCTAAAGAATGAGAGAAGAGATAGAGGAGAAGATTAAGAGATCAGGAATGTGGAGCTAAAAGCACGTGAAATGAAACGATTGTCATGTTGTGGAGTAAAGTGAAAAGAATTCATGCAGGGATAAATCTGCCTGTGTTTCATCCCTTAGCTGTATGCTTGCAGAGGAAAAACTGTCGAAACCGATCAATAAAGTACGCCAGCAGTTTCAGTGTACCATTTTAAATGCACAAAGACTGCCGAAATTGACGTATATATAAAAGCCGACTGTTAATGTGTCAAACATATTTCGATGTCGGGAAAAGCCTGTGTTACAGAACGTTTGAATATTTCATCTAAATCATTCCATTAATCTGTACAACAGTTTTACGTCACAGGTTTCAATAAATAACGAAGACAATGCACAATAACGAAGTCGGGAAAGCTTCAGTCCTAATTTGTAACTTTCCCAAATGCTGCTACAAACAATGTAAAACAATGACCTCGCAAATGCGAATTAAAGAAAATCATACTTCTCAATTTTACCCTTTTAGGTCTGACAAACTATGAGAATTGCAAAATTTACAGTGTGAAGTAAAAAAAGGCTTTTTCCGTAGCCTTTTTTTTTCAAACCACCAGAACAAAACGAGATCGAATCGAACATTAAAGTGAGCTACTTCCCGCTAGTTTCGAGCTTGATTTTCGGCGGCTTGAATGATGTTCCTTTCAGTGATTTTCCTTCGCCTTCCTTCTTTGCTTTCTTGGCCATGAATTGCCTCCAGGTACCGCGACGTTCATCGCGTGATTCCTGACAAATAAAATATATTAATAATGACCGGCGTAGTCCAGGCAAAAAATTGGTCCAATCGCCGGTACGAGAAAGCTAGGAGGGTAGAAAGGTCCTAGCAGAGTTTTTACAAGAATCTACAAACAGTTTTTTTTTTTCAGCATCTTCTTTGATTACAAATAATGATCACAGCAAAATGTTCAGCTTTCTGAAAAACTGTTCGACGCGCAAACGAAATACTTTTCTCAAGTTTGAGTGTTTCATTTTACACTCAGCAGTCAACTACCGATTGAAACATCAATAATCTTTTCGTGAGGAATAAGCAATAGAAGAATTTCAAATTGCAAGCATGCCAAACATGCGCACGCAATTTTGCCACTGAAATAAATCAACAAATAATGCGTATTACCCATCTGTAGCCCTGAAACTACAAGCACCGTTCTTCACGCATTCTGAAAGTATAAGACATAGCAAAAAAATGACCTCATAGTTTTTAGCGAATTCTTCCTCTCTTTTCCTTTTTTCAACAGCTGCTAGCATTTCTTCTGCAGCACGTCGCCTGAAAATTTGTTGATTATTTCCACTTACAGGGGAAGGGTTTCGAATCGCAAAATATCTTAACAGATCAAAATCTCCCAGGTATTTCATCCTTTACAGTAGACGTAGGCACTCGGATGTAACCAAGTGATAACATTTTGCCAACAGTCACTGCTCCCTCCTCCTTCGGCGATAAGGCGATTCACAGTTCGTAATAAGTAGGCTAAATGCGATTTGGAATAGCTGAAAGGATAAAACTTACTTCTCTTCATTTGCTCTTTCTTCCAGCATTTTTCTTTTTTTTTCACGAGCAGCAAATACCTAAAAATTATAAGTGTTTCAAAAAATACAGAATTGTGAAAAAAGCAGTATATTCAGATAACATTCATGTTCTGAAGAACCAATTTTTGTCAGGAAAATCCGTATTCGAAATCGGACTAACTTTACCAATTTTCATTGTGGGCTGTCAGTGAAAGTTAAATTGAACACTTGACTAGCTAG